TTCTGGTACACAAAAGCCGAAAACTTTAGTACAGACCATAAACTTTCCGAGCGGACCAATCAGCGGCGCTGTGTAAGGCAGGAAAGTAGGAGAATAATGTTTGTTAAAGCAGAAGATAGAAAGGTGCACAAAATGACGACGAAATCCTTTTGTGTTTTTAGACCCACTCGGAATCACCTAATCACTGTTTTATCATTCTTTTAGATAAGCAGTACAAATCAATGAGCACTCAATTTTATTGCTCTGATACTTCCTGAGTAACAAAAAAATACAGTACGGAATTGAAAACAAAAATGGAACACAGAAAATGAAAAATGAATCAGAATGCTTCTGACTGCAACTCGTTTCAAGACCGTGATTTTTGTATAACGTCGTACACAGCTCTTTGTAACCGTGAATAGGTGGGACAGTCCTCGTACATCCCCAATTTCAATCCATTAGTGACATATGAGATGACGACTCCATTTGTTGTGTCGAAGTTCACTTCTTGACAGCCATAACCGCCATGTCCTGCGATGGGATTGCCCTGAAAATATAGATTTATCTTGAGATAAAGCCAAAAGCATTCTAATTTTCTTACTGTCATTTTATTTTCAACTTCGAATGGATCTGTATCACCGAAGGAAATCATTTTCATTCAAACTCTAACCAGAACCTTATACACCAAAGCTGCGCCTCATCAGCGCTGTTAACACATAAGGAGAATATCCTTAAGGTCTGGGTTTTAACATCTAGGATGTTCACAGCACGGGATAAGGAGCCCAAAAAGCATCCCATACAAAAAAAAATCTCCTCTTGATTCGCGATATTCGTTGACTAAGAGGTCAAGAATTATGAAGTGCTAGTAAACGAGCGATCTGTGTTAGTTCGGGAGAAAGGACAAAAGGAGCCTAAACACTAAATCGGTAAAGTACAACAAGTCACTTCAAACAGACAGACAATTGATGGTAAAAAGTCTCTAACCGAAGGTTTTTTCATCAAATGCAAATTTTTGGTAAATGATCCAACTCACTCCGCTTGTGATTGGTGGATGATAGAGGAAACCATGTCCGAAAGCCATCTGTATTTGAATCACGTAATCGGTTCCATTTACTACAGGCTCCTTGAGCAATGCTAATGTCTTCTCACTGACTAGCCTTTTGGTGATGAGCTAAAAAGAAACACGTATTTGCACCAGTCGCGAACTTCCCGTCCTGCAAGGCTCCTATTAAAGCTGTAAGATTCTCTATACTCCTGAATTTCACATACTAGTTATGTGAGATCTAGGAGTTCAAAATCTTCGTGTATACGTGTGAGTCATTATTTCATATCAGCAATTCATATATTCCAAAATTGTCGATTCAAATAAAGTGGGACAGAGAAAGTAGTACCTCTACAAAAAGAATTTTAGCTTTTTGAGTTACATGTTCAGTACTAGGTCAGCCGCAGCTCAGCATCAACGAGTGCTTGCAAAGACTATTGAACAAGCTGACTTTGGGAGAGTACTTAGATCTCTTTACTTGTAAATAGAGTAGACTACTCTGTAGTGACGCTTGTTTGCTAGAAGGGAAAATTTGAAAACACTTAAAAAAGACTATTACCAAACAAAGTTTTATTTCATCAGTTGCTCAATAATATCCAACTAAATGTTTCAGCTCCATAAAAATTGATGAAACCGAGTTCGCCAGAAAGAAGGAACTTTGAAGTTTTATGAACCTTCAAATGCTCATTTTTTTATATATAAAGCAGAAACATTGTATGTGTGTGCTATGTATGCTTTTTATGGACTTCTTTGTACC